AGCTGGGAAACGGCTGGATCCAAGTGCCAGGTTTCGGCTGACGAGCATTCACTGTACGCGTGTGGGCTGCTGCGTTACTGCCCCAGCTACAGCGGTTCTGCTCTCCAAACCGGCACCAGCATTCTCTAGGATGTTTACTGCTCCCCCTTCCCGCACTACCTCTCCCAGAGTTCGCTTATTTTTTCCGTAGTTGGAGAGAAACTTTTTATAAGGGCCTGTAACGTAGCACTGGAACAAGTTGCCCAGAGAAGCTGTGGATGCCCCATCCCTGGAAGTGTTCAAGGCCAGGCTGGATGTGGCTTTGAGCAACCTGGTCTAGCGGAAGGTGTCCCTGCCCATGGCAGGGGGCTTGGAACTGGATGGTCTTTAAGGTCCCTTCCAACCCAAACCATTCTATGAATTTTGTGCTCTTTTTTAGCGTCTCCCACATTTTCTTGGAGATTTTGCAGCTGTAGCAAAAAAGCATTTACCTTTTTGAGCAGTGTTTTCAACTATCTCTAAATCACTGTTTTTGAATTTTGATAGGATTTATGTAGACTAGTCTCCAGTTTTGACTTACTTTTTGTAGTGTGTGAAAAATTGGATCACTTAGCACCCTGTATTTCAGTGTGATGAAAAGTTAAGAATTCTGGAATGGAGGGATCTGCAAACACATCTTGACTAAGCTTTTGATTTTATCTCTGATTGTGTTTCACAACATCCTGTCTGCTGCTTATAAAATTGTGAAACCTTGTGCTTGAACCTATTGGTAAATATTTTGTGTCTTGTGAGGAATTTGTTGTTCAAACTTCCTTTGTGGTTGTTTCCCCCAGTTTTGTAGCCCCTGGTGTTTGGAGAATGCTGATAGAAGATGGGTTAATTTACTAAGCATGAACCTATAAACATAATAGATGTCCAGAAAGCTTGTGTGAAACCCATGATTAATTCCTTTAAAGCTTTATAAGTTTGAGTCATTCAAGCATTTCTTAGATCAGAAATAGTGATTGTAGGCAGGAAGATCATACAGGTACGTGGCCAGTTTATATTTGGGGAAATAGTGGTTAGTTCCATCTGAAAGATGTACATGTCAGATCTCAGCTTCTGTTATCAACAAGAGGTTGTAAAAACAAGATATGTACCTATTATTGATGATAGTAGCAGAAGCTGATTCACATCCTTCTCTTTTCCTAGCCCAGCAGTCAAAGTAACTTGTTGCTGTAGAGCATAAACCAGCTGAAATTGTACATAAAAATCTCTGCAGACCGTTTCAAAAAAATAGAGATCGGCAGTTTTCTTAGGTAAAAGACAAAGTAATAGAGATTGATTTCTGCTGGCTTTAGACGTGTACATTGCAAGGAAAAATTGATTTTTAGTTGCTTTCTTGTGTATAGTATATCGTATCATGTTTAGTAGTGGATATGAACTACATCAAATCATTGCTAGCCAAATCATGTAGTCCAAATTCATCACTGGTGCATGATAAAACCTAAATGGTTTTCTGTGGACCTCTTTCATGTCGAGTTTCAAATTCAGCTTTGAAATCTAGGACAAGTTGGATACTAAAGGACAAGTATAAAGTTTCTGCCTGAAGCCATATCACATAATATTTAGCACATCTTTTAAACCCAGACCATCAACTGTGGTTACGAATTTGACTGTGATAATCTCTAAGGGGACTATGAGCCAGTAGATGGCACCCGTTCCTCTTAGCATTTAACCATTTGAGGACTGAAGGTCCTGGTCTTCCGGAGCTGTGGCATCCCATGTAGAATCAAAGTCCCAGTTGCTGTGTTCATCACCAATGCCAAAAAGAGTAAAGAACAGAGTAAAAGAAAGAGTGAACAATCACATTTTCCTACCAAATTGGAAATCTGCCCACCTTTCTTCATACAAGACCAAATTGGTACCATTTTTCACTTATCCCTATCACTGTGTTGTGGGTTATCATGGTTCAGTTTCTGTCTTAGTCCTGGTTGCTCTTCTGTGGTGCCTTGTTCATATTATAGAATCACAGAATGGTTAGGGTTGGAAGGGACCTTAAAGATCATCTAGTTCCAACCCCCCTTGTCATGGGCAGGGACACCTTCCACTAGACCAGGTTGCTCAAAGCCTTGTCCAGACTGACCTTGAACACTTCCAGGGATGGGGCATCCACAGCTTCTCTGGGCAACCTGTCCCAGTGCTTCACCACCCCCAAAAAGTTACAACAGTACCAAAAAAACCTGTTCAAATAATATTGCCCTTATAGTATTAATACAGGGGGGATGGGAGGGGGGAAACACATTCAGCTAACTTGGAATAAAATCTGCAAAATGCAATGAATATAAAAGGAAATTAGCAAACTCAATTTATTCAAAAAAGGAGGAAAAACATGCCATTTTTTAAAGATTTGGGTTTAGATTACATATATGGTGTTGTGTTTAAAAATAAAGTTTCAGAAATGTTAATCGTTCCAGACCCTAACAAAGGGAAAGAAATCATTCACTGCAATATGTAGAGCTCAGTCAGGATCTCCCTTGTGTTTTGTAATAAGAAAGCCAAATTGCCTGAGCAGTGCACACTTCATTTAGCTTTTCTGCAATTAAAAAATAATTGAAAAGCTCTTTTATTGCAGTAAGGCAGAGAGACTGCAAATGCTTTGAATGCAAAGCAGTTATGTGGTGAGGTAAAAAATCCATCAAGAGTGCAACGATCATCCTGGAAAATGAAGTAGGTCATTTTTCTTATGTAAATAACACAATCTCCAGAATCTACGCAATCTACAGTCTTTACTACTGTAAGTCATATCATACAGGAAAAATGATAAACCAATATTTTTAATTTCAGGTTTCTGAAACTTGGCTGTTTTGGTTTTCAGCTTACTATGACACTTAGCCGCATCCCTAATAAAGAACGTATTCCTGAAAGCAGCACAGCTAATTACATTTTATTGTTTAAGGGTCAGCTGGGATTAAGGGCATTTTTGCAAGATGATGGGTCCGTGTTATTTTGTGCTATGAACCTGTGTAAATGGATCTATGCTCATGCTGAAACCATGTAAATGATGTGAAAATTTGCTGTACATGTAGCCCAGCAAAAAAAAAATGTAGCTTAATTTTGCCAAACTGCAAACCCTGAAGAAAGAAATACTAAAATGACACTGTTTCACTGGCATTTCTAATATTCAGAGATTTGCAAACATATTCCTGGTGTGGTTTTCATGTTATTTTTAGGTCATGGTGAAGCCTGGTTATTCAAAGTGTGTCTTTATTTTCTTGTGGCTTCAAGAACATTTTTTCCCTTCCACCAAGCCCATTCCAAAATCCTTAAAAGTCGGTTATGTTTTAATGTTGGAGATAGCACTCTAAACACGCCTTGTTCATATACTTCAGGAACTTTGTCCTTCAGCGACCGTAGGTGTTTCCTCAAATATTTGTACACTGTACTGTATTTGGCGTGTTTGTGAGTTGATACGCCGTTGAGTATCTGATGAACAAAGAAGAGGTACATCTTTTGAGTGGTGTTTTGTAAAAGGCTGATAAACATGTTGTCAGTTAACATTTCAGTACTTCTGTTGTCTTATTTATTACAAATGAGATGTTAAAACATGTGTTACTTTCCTTAACTGTTCTGGAATGCTTTGATCACAAAGAATCTGATATGCTACACTATGATTCTATGGTTGCACTAGCTTTTGATTTCTTCTTTTTTTTTTTTTAAGCTGCCTTTGTTCATTTTTAAATTTTTTTAAGATAACTAAGCAAGTTTCTAAGTTATGGAAATGGAAGGGTTTTTATTTTCCCCTTTGGAAAAAGGTAGTATAGGGAGATAAAGCATCTCTTTTTATCACTTCCTTAAGAAATTCATTTTCTTTCCAAAAATTCCCCCCAAAAAATCCCCAAATACCCAGTAGTTGGGCCATGGTCAGCTAACCTTTAAAAGATACTAGTTTATTTCTTCAGTGTTGGCAAGGCAGTTTGGTGGTTTTGTGTCTGCAGGACACAAAATAGTAACAAAGTACATCCTTGCATAGTTTAACATCTCTGTTAATCTGAATCCTATACAAGTCAATAATGTATCTTTGTTTTGTAATCCTTGCGTCAAGTGTAGTGTCAAGGGAGGGGGACGTAATTTTTCTGGAGGGATTAAAAAGCTATTGAAAATGAAGATTACATTAAGGAAAGACTAATAAGAATTAAATAGCTACTTTGGATTTATGCAGTTGTGCTAAGCATAGAGGGATTTTAAACACTTTTTTTTTTTCTTCCTTATAATTCTTGGTTTTTTGTGAGTTTCAGAAATCCTGCCAGAAACCTGTGGACAAATACATTGAGTATGATCCTGTTATCATCTTGATTAATGCTATTTTATGTAAAGCACAAGCATACAGGCACATTCTTTTCAATACAGAGATAAATGTAAGTTGCTACATGCCTACCCTGTGACTTTTTTTGGTTTTGTTAAAGATATATTAGGTTTGGTAAGTTGATTGTAGTAGCTGTAAAATTTTAGGAACTGTTCTTCTGCCGTTCCAACAGGTTCCATCAAACTCAGTCAGGTCTGTTCTCAGACTCCAGCTGTTACTAAGAAAGTTACTGTGTCCCTAGTAGTGATACCACACCACCAACAACTACAGCAGTCGTCCTACATGTTGAAGGGAGTCCTAATTGGGCTCAAAGGAAGAGAAAGGTCTATTTTCAAGTTCATTTCCAACTTAAATTCCTATTGGAAACAGTTCTTTTTGAAATGAGCTGTAGTAGTGTGACAGACCAGACTAACAATACTATGCCAAGTAAACCTACTTGGTTTAGGTACACTCACCTTGTCTTTCAAGCATAAATCTTACTAAAGGTTTTTAAGGAATTCAGTGCTTCTGGAGACTGGTAATGATGTTTTCCATGAGGCTTCTCGAAGAACTATTCAATCTGTGGAAATTTTGTCTATTCGAGTCGAATTTTAAATTGGCACAGCCTGTGCATGTTTGTGCAGTTGGCGTAACTAGTCTCTCATGGAAAGAGTAGAATCCACACACAGAAATTGCATTGGTTTTATTTACATCTGTATAAAATCGGAATTCACCCCGCATACACACTGGCTTACAGACTGTTTAATGTGGAAACATGCTAACTATGGACCCTCATGACATCATTTGTGCAGTCACTTCACAGGATAAAGTTCTGTTTAGTTATATTGCCCCATCTATTTTTGGTTCTTCACTCTTATCTGAAGTAAGAGATGATTTTTGGTATAACGACACTACAAGTTTCTTCTAATGAAGACTGTCCCAGGAAAAAAAAAGAGACAGGCTATTTAAACCAGTTGGCTGAAGGGGAATAGTTGCCCTGAAAGTAAAATTTTTGGTAGTACAGTTCTTCTAGCTATGGCACAATTTTGGTTTTGTATTCCTAACTGAAATGTCCTTCCCAATTAGAAAAGTGTAGAGCAGGGTTTACCAACTGCAGTTACATGTTTTCTTCTGTATGGACCAGTTCATGCAGTTTCCTACCTTCTGTAATTGGCTTATCAAATTAATTAATGTTAAAAGGATGATGTGCTAAACTGGTGGCTCAGCAGAAGTGATTTGCTTACGTTTCTGAACAAAAGTTATAAACCTACAGAGCTTGGTATGGAGATGTAGAAATGTGTTTTAAATACCAATTGAATACTAGTACTTGAATTTATGATGATAGTAAGGCTTTTATTCTTTCATTTACCAGATTCATGGGAAGCTATGCATATTCTGTTTGCTTTGTGAGGCTTATCTCAGGTGGTTGCAACTACAGGATTCAAGCCAAAATATTGATCCTGATGACTTAATCAGATATGCCAAGGAATGGGATTTTTACAGAATGTTTGGTATAGCTTCTTTAGGTAAGATCAATGATTCATTCACGGAACTATTCGCTCTTTAAGCACTGAATAACTTCATGAGTCTTTCATCAAGACTGCACTGCTAAAATTAATAGAGAATGGATGTCTTGTCTTACCCAGTATGGTTAAGTGATTATAAACGTACTCTCTCCCTTGCCTTCATTTAATGCAAACGCATGTTTCGACCCTGATTACAGTTCAGACTGATATGATAAGCATTAGATACCAAAACACTGACAAGTGGCAATATTCAGGAATGTTAATCTGAATCCGTTTTACGTAATTTTGCGGACCAGTGTAGAGCTCAGCCTTATTCTGTGTTTCACGTTGACTCCAAGGTTTATTATTCATTAAGGTGATGCAACATTAAGCATGATCTTTACAGAATTAAACAATAATCAGGAAAAGCTGAATCTGGGGGTGGTTACATGAATGCACAAAGATTCACAGCAGCGTCATCATGTTGAAGGCAGGGGAAGGCTTTTATTTTGGTTAATACTTTTATTCTCATATTTTTCTGGTGATGGAGCTTAAATCAGACCCACAGACTAAAATGAGTATTTCTCTTACACATTCAGAGTTCAACTTCAGTCATTTATTGTCTAGTGTTGCTCTAAGTAGGCTTTCATAACAGGTCAGTAAAAATGTTGGAACTCATTTTTCAGTAGCAACTCACCTATTGCAGTTGTTGTGAGTGTTGTTTTGACATCTGCATTAACACCAGTGTTACACAGGGATGCAGTGTCAAAAAAGGTCAATACCTCCATGATTATTTTCACCTTAGGGTTCTTTCTCGTGCTGGTTGGAAAGGGTTCATTGGTGGTGACCTTTTTGAAAATGACAAGTATTTATTTTGTTTTACAGGCTAACAGACAGTTGGAAAAAACCCCTCTCCTTTTGTTAAAAAGAAAAAGTAAGGAAGTTCATATGCTAAGCTTCCTGTGCGGTGTCAGAAATTATGAGTTTAACAATTCTACAGACAGAATTCGGTGATAGAATTATTTTGAATGTCATGAATGAACACAGGAGATGGGGGACATGCTTGTGTTGGCATGTTTTAAATAGCAGTGGCTCAGTTGCATTTCAGACACATTTCACTGAAATTCATCGAAAGAAAGACTTGATTTTGGCACTTCATTCTCACTTTCCTCTTGCTTCCTCTTAGAACAAACTTCATTTCTGCTTGGCATTTTTATTACCTTATGGTGGATGAGACCCAAGATGCTGAAAACAAAGTCTGACTTCGTTTTACTTCTCAAAGCACTGCTGTTGTCCAGCTATGGAAAGCTTTTGCTAATTCCAGCTGTTATTTGGGAACATGACTACACACCTTTGTGCCTTGCGTTTATAAAAGCATTTGTCTTGATATCAAACTCTCAGGCAATTAGAGGTATGGCTTTGCTTTTTTATTCCACTCTATGCATATAGAATGTGTGTGAGAGAATGCAGCTGTTAACAGAAGTCGTTATTGCTGCTGTATTTTTAAATTGATATCAGGTATGTGACTGAAACAGCTCTATCTTAGAACTGTGTTATTTAGACTTCAATAAAAAGGATAAAACAAAACCACTTTATTAAAAAAGGAAAAAGCACCTCTTACCTTACCATCATCTCATTGCATATGCTATATTATATATATTGAAACATAATGCAGAATTCTTTCTGTGTCTGGAAGATGAAAATTTCACTGTAATTTTATGGGTGGCTTTGGAATGTAGACTTTTAACAGATCTGTGTGATTTCTTACACATACAAATTAATATGAATTCTCACATGGTTTCTGTGATCTTCTTTAAATGGTGATGAATTTGTTCTGTTTTCTTTTGCAGTTACATTGAACTTGAACCGAATGTTCCCTTGGTTTGCCATCATCTTTGGATTAATTTTGGAAAATGGAGTGGTCTGCTTGTACCAGAAAATGGGATGGGATGTTTGAAACATCAGCTGTGATCAGAAGAAATACCGACAACGTGATGATCATTGTCTAAGGACGGTCTCTACCAGCAGGCTCCAAAGACACTGTTTTCATAGTGATAAAGAAGGTGATAGATAACAAAAACTTGCATTAGTGGTGAGTGTAGGCAGTTTTAGGATGAGTTAAAATTAAAAACTCAGAAGTTTGACTGTTTAATGTGGTGAGCTATAAAACCTCCTCCTTAGCCTGTTTATTTTCCCATCAGCTATGGCTGTAGCAAAAAAGATACACTAAGAAAAAGTTCTGCACTGCCACCAGTCCCTGCAGTCTGGCAGAAAGAGGAAGATTAATTCTTTCCTTAAGAGGAAAGAAGAGAGTCAGTAGTAAAACGTAAAAGTCAAAAATGTTATTTCCGCAAAACCAGATTTTCAACGAGAGAAGCGAACGTGTGCAAACAGGTTATTAGAGAAAAGCCATGTATTGCAGAGTAGAACGACAGTGGGAAAACGAAGCTGCATTCTTTTGAGTGTTTATATAACAGTGTAAAATAATAAAATACTTAGGTCCAGGGTAATCTGTAGGAACTATAGTTTTAACTGCCTTGATATTTTATGGGATCTCAAATACTGCTGCTTTGTTCTGAAAGCTGGGAGTGAAAGGACTCATCCCCAGCACACACGGTTGTTTGGGATACTGCTGCTTCTGCACTTAATATTAAGCCACGTGCGCCGCACTCAGCCCTTATCTAGCAGCAGGTTTAGTGGAAGCCAGAAGCAGAAGTATGAGGCTGCTCAGCAACAGAGTAGCACTTGTTAAAAAAAAGGTTTAGGCCTAAATTAGTGAAGAAACATTTATAGAAGTTCTGCACATTTTTTCCCCATCAGGCAAAGTGGGGGGGGCTGGGTGGCCCCCAAAGGAAGAGCAAGAATCTGTTTCTGCAAGACAGCCATTAGGACACCAACTGACTTCTTTTGTGCGTACCAGTTTTTGTGACATCCCATCCAATATTGAACTCTCCTGCTTCCATCCCGGAAGGCTGTATTACCTCCAGGTACTACCTCCCTTCTTCATCTTCCTCAGGTGCAGGCTCCTGTCTGCATTTTGCCAAATGCATCAAGTGATGTCTTGCAGCAGCTTCAAGCTAATTCCATGCAGGTGTTGCCTAAGTCTAGGTGGTGACCACAGAAGACACCCCGCACGTTTAGCTGATCCAGCTGCCCATGCTGTTCCTCGGTCCAAAAAGCCATTTGCGTTACATCTTTCATCTCTCTGAGCGTGGGATGGTATGGCTAGAGAAGGAAAAAAAATAAAGAACCAAACAAACTGCAGCCTCTTTTTACGAACACGGAACACGGCGGCTGCCCCAGCGAGCGCATCGTTGTGAAGGTGTGTGCGGGATCCGCCTTGCTGCCGGTGTGACTCAGTGCCCGGACAATTGAGTGTAGGAGTGCAGCTACTCACTGCCTGAGCAGCAGCTTTGGCAACACCGTACCTGCAACATGCTTCGCTTTACATAAGATTTTTGGGAGATACTCCACCCCCAAAAACTTTTTTAAAGACAGGATGTTGCCAGAGGTACTTTAAGTAGTGCTCATCTTCTTCCCACACCCCAGCACGCAGCGTTGCAACACAGAGGCTGCAGGTTGAGAAGGGGCAAAGGGAAAGGGCAGTGGATCATTTTGGCAAGCTTCAGGGGTGCTGGTCTGGCCTGCTTTCATTCTCCTTCACCTTCTGCCTTCAGTTTAAGGGGGAGTGAAGTTGTGCTGCAGCAGAGAGCATGACAGGAGAATATGCAGTAGGAAAATGCTGGTGACAGCTGAGCCAAACCCTGTTATTACAGCTGTCATCTGGCTTTTACCCAGCTCTCTGTCCATCTTAGTAAGACCTTGCATTGCAGCTGGCAAAAGTTGCTCACCACTTTGTGTGCCCCTCTTCAGGAAATGTCCATTCTTTCTACCTGTTTCCCTAATGATGTAACAACAGTGCTTTGGTTTGTTCTCTTAGGTTAAGTTTTGTTGTTTTGGTTTTTTTTTTTTAAATCTTGTGTGTTGTTGTTACACACAAAAGATTTGTTTTGAGGACTTTCTCCCTTGCCTGCTCTGGCACTGGTTTCAGTCTAAAGGCTGAGTGGAGCACACTGACGCGTGACTGATGCAAGAGGAAGATTTTGCATTGCGTGTAATGTAAATATTGCCTGGTCAGACGCAAAATTGTAAATACAATGTACATACATGTTGTTTGGGAACAGTTTTCTTAAAGGTTATTTTGAATATTAAAAATTGATTTCAGGACACTTTCTGAGTTTTATTCAGAAGATGTAGAATGGATGTGAGCACATTCCGGAAGAAGAAATGCTTATTGTGTCACATAGGCCAGTAAGGTATCAGCTGGGCACTCTGTAACGGTATCGGGAGCCACCACTGTCCTCATGCAACTCCGAGAGTGGAGGAGAAAATGAAGAGCTATGGAGCTGTAGAATAAAAGCAGGTGTTGTACAGGTTTTCAGTCTTCAGAGGCATCATTATTGCCTATTAATGTAGGGCATTTTGCCTTGTGCAGTTTTATGGCTACTCATTTACCAGGACTAACATGACAAATGCCCTAATATTTCATAAATCTAGGGGGAACTTGAGGATGCCCTCTGTGAGTGCGAGCAGGTGTGTGTGCATTTTTGACGCCTTTGGAAGAGGATTCCATATGTTGCTCCAGAGAGAATGTAGACTATTTTAAGGTCCTGCCTCTTTAAAACAGTCATCTCTCTCTTGCTTTTATTCCATTTTGTCTTTTGAGCCTCTCTTCTTTCATTAAATCCTTGCAATGAAAGTCATCTGTGCTGGGCGATGTATGACAAACAGCCTGCTCTTTCTACGTAGCTTCAGTGGCTTCATTAACTTACAGGAAAGGATTTACTTGGGTTAAATATGTAACAGCCTGCAAATGAACCCATGTAAACTCTTTTGGGTTTTGCTTGGAATCAAAAGGGATTATCTCGGCCTATGGGAAATTTGTGGGCCTATGAAGCAAATTCTAGAATTCTGTCGGATGAAACAGTGCTGTTTTTCAGGCTTGGGTTGAGCAACGGTTTAGTGATTGCGCAGTGGGAGCTGGGAACTTTAATGGGGTCCATAGGTCAGGTAACAACTATTTAGAAATTACTCTGTACAAAACTGGAGAATCAGAGTATAAGTTAGGAAGGGTTAAAAGAAAGTAGGTGTCAGGCAGACTTCTACAAAATTAAGAGTTGAGAAGACTATAAGGGGATAGAATCTCAAGAAAAATAAATATGTAAGAAAAGATGCAGTGGAGATGAGTATGAGTGTACGATTAAGCAAATACGTGAGCGTCCTGTCCTAAATTTTCAAAGGATGAACGTGAAGGAAAAGTATTGTGTATTGTTTATTGTAGACATTTTTTTAATAGTCTAAGTGATAACATGAAATGGCAAAGGATGTGTTCCGAATAGTAAAGTCTATGGGTTTCCCTAGAAAAGTTACCGATGACCTTATTACTTCCGAGTTTGCCCTCCATCCTTGAAAATACACTTTTATAAGCAAAATTAGCAGTTGTACAGAGATAGAATTAATCCCTGCAACTAGGGAGAGACGTGCAACAGCACAGCTCCTCCCTTCATTCTGCAGCACGTTTTGCTGGTTGAGGCAAAGGCTACTACTATCGTGACCTCAGGCAAGTACAAACGAGTCCTTTCTTCCATGACAAGTCATATCTCAGGCATATAAACTGCCATTTGTTTGTTAGCCCAGTCTTCACAGAACTGAAAGTAAAATAGGACATCTGCACTGGAAAACTATTGGCAGCTGATTTCTCATCAAACAAGAAAGGCAGTGTTTTTCAGGAGCTTGCTCAATCCATCAGCTCTCCCCCAGCTGGGTAGTGTTAAGCCCCACAGTGCCATCTGGAGTTGAAAAGTAAAGCACTGTTGCCAAAACTCCAGTTTTGGCACCATAGCATGTATTCTTTGATTGATTTTTATTTTGCAAAATCACAAATTCAAGCTTTTAAAATTCACATTCATTTTCAGTTTGGAGAAATTGTTGGAGTGAAATAAACGATGAAAAACTACTTGTTTGGGTGACGTGTAGCAAGGTCAATTCAATATATGCACCAGGAAAGCTATAAAATGCAAATTATTTGTGGCATCTCTTTAAGACGTAAACAGCCCTGCAAGCTGGGATTATTCCGAGCAGCCTCACTGAGCTCAGAGAAAAATCCATGTGGCAGAAGACATAATGAATGCATTCCTCCACTGCTAAAAATCAATAGGAATTCTGTTGCTGAATTAATTTGAAACCCTGGTTGCTGCAGTTAGAATTTGCAGGAAGGGGTATATACCAAGATTCCCATCTTCTCTCCCACCTCTTACAATTATGTTTTGTCCTTCTTAGCCTTTCCAATAATGCGCATGCTGAAGTGGCTAGAAAGAAGATCTGAGCATAGGGAGCTCTGTAAAATCTTTTTCCAAAACACAATCTGCTGTCCTGAATTTGTAAAGCTCTTTTGAGCCCTGTATAAATAAATGGCAGGTCAGCAAAGCAGCTAGGAAATACTGCCAATGATTTTTTTTTAATTGCTGTTCGTTAGAATAACGTGTATTGTTTGGGTTTGATTTTCCTGGGTAAAAATATGGTTTAAATTCCCTTATGTAGTAGTGTAGGAGTGTGAACTCGTACAGCTGCTGCAGAAATAAATCCAGATAAGCCCCACGATTTCTCATAATCTCTGAGTACATTTTTAGGCAAAAGAATTGTTGTCCATAAGCTGTGCAGAAGTGCCTGCCATCGCTAGCTGAGCAGAGGAGCAGGGACCTGAATTAAGACCTGGATCCTAATCCTGGCTATAAGACCGACTAATGCTGTGACCTTCAGCGAGTCACATAACGCTGCTCCAGGAAACGGTTGTACCTCCACCGTCTCAGGATTTGGCAGAGGATTCATTTGTTCATGCCTGCTTAAAAAAATGGAAAGCATTACATCCTTTCAGCTGCAGGTTGTTGGGAGTCAGTCAACACCATGAACATCAGATACAGAAACAGACGTGCCAGGAGCCAGAGAATGTGAACATTGAAGGTGACGTGTATGAAGTCTTTGTTGCGTTAAGGGAAGCTTTGATTCTGACCCTTG